AAAGGAAAACTTGAAATCGCATCATATGACCCCTTTAAGTACACTTTAGTTTAATTTGATTTAATTCATATTTTATTATCTACAAGTACAGCTTTTAAAAATGTACTTTTTATATTTGAAGTACACTACAAGTGCACATTCAATACAGTTAAGCACACTTCTTTTTCACAGAGGATAACCATGGAAAATTATGTAATGTTAAATATGAAATGTAAATATAAGATAGATATTTTTGTATTTGTGTTTTATATTTTTATTTATGTAGCACATTTCAATACAACCGAGGTTGCCCAAAGTGATGAAATAATAAAATAATGTACACTGTGTGTATAATGATGTATAATAACTGCATATAAAAGTTCCTAATGTAATAGTAGTGGTATAATAATGTATAAAATATATATGTGTGCTCTTTGTAAGCGTATTTGAGTATTGAGTTGTTAGCTTAGATAACTTATTCTTAGACTCGTAAAAAATGTCAAGCTCATTAACTGTTGTTTATTTGAGGTAAAATACCATTTGTGTGGAGAGCTGCCTATCTCAGATTAGTTATTTACAAGGTTTCTGTTCATGTGAGACTGTCTCTTAGAGGACAGCTGCCCATGTAGCTATCTAACCTTCTCACTCACATTTTGAAGTATTAATGTACTCTTAAGAAAGTGTTGTTCCAACACATTTCTGATCCACTATGCTTCCCTTCCTCAGATAAGAGAGATCAAATGGGCAGATGTAGGTGGATGGACGGGTCAGGGTGGATCCCTGCTGGGAACTAAACGGTATTTATCTTATATACAAAGGCTATGTTGCAAGTTTATATACAGATTTTAGTAATGCAGATGATTTTGCATGCAATGTGCTATACTTAGTGCAATGTTTTCAAATTTGCAGAACGCTTCCTGCAAAGCACATTGACAAAATTGCAGAACAGATGCGAAAGTATAACATAAATGCACTGTTAGTGATCGGAGGATTTGAGGTATGTCTTCCAGCCTGGGCTTTAGGCATTTTAATGTTTTATCTTGCATTTAGTGTGTCATAAGATGGTCATTTTTATAAATAACTTATGTGCTTCACTGTTGATATTATATATAATATTTTAAAATTATTTTATTTGAAAATAACTTTTGCGTTTAAGTAAAATATAACCACATAAATAGGTGACACTTTGCAATAAACTTTCTTAACTACAT